GAGCAGCAGAGGATCGGGGTTAAATATTGTTTGCTGAGACTAGAAGCTGTTCTAACAAACAAGGGAACAGCCAGAGCATGGGCAAAAACGACCAATTATTCCACATTTGTGTCAACTGAACAACGTGAGTTTGAAAAATGGGTAAAGAAAATGACAATAAAAGAGTTGGTGTGCATATTTTAGAGACAGAAAGGGTTTCACAGAATGAAATCTACAGAGAAGGAAATGAAAGCGGTCTTTGGAAATAAAAAGAAAGGAAAGATGGTCAAATGTTGACTATGGTGACAAGCTTGGGTTGCAGTCTGGGGAAAGAGCTACTGTCCTGCATATTGTCTACCTTAGTGGCCCTATGAGTCTCAGAAGCCATGCAGACACTGGGAACAAACGTATTTATTCAGTGTTTGAAACCGAGGAGCACAGGTGTCATAGAATCACGGGCCACAGCATCTGAAGAATTGTGAGGTCAGAGATGGAGTCTATCTGTCCAGGTGTGCTGCCTCCTCAGGCCTGTTCTCTCAACTCCCCAGCATGTGAGTTACATGAGGCTAGCCACATTTGGTTTCCAGTGGGGGCTACCTGCCAGTGGAGGGCTTTATAAATAGCTTTCCAGAACAATGGATTTCATGGAAATGCTTTGGGAACTTAGATGGAAGAAACAAAACAAAGACTAAAGTAAGGTAGAAGAGAATGAATTATTACCAAAGGTAAAAAGTAAAGTGCTCCCTCCCTCCCTCCCTCCCCTCTACCCTTCCATCTCCCATCCCTCCCGCCCCCTTCCCATCTCCCATTACTCCCTCCCTCCCTCCCTTCTACCCTTCCATCTTTTATCCCTCCCTGCCTCTCCTCCATCTTTCCATCTCCTATTCCTCCCTCCCTCCCTCCCTGCCTCCCCTCCACCTTTCCATCTCCCATCCCTCCCCCCTTTCTCTCATGCAGATACACACCTTTACACACTCATATACTGGTGTGTGGGGTGGGAGTCACAAAGCCTTATTTACATTACAGTAAATAATAATAATGACAAAGGCAGAAAGCAGAACAATGAGCTATGAATTTCCTACATGAAAAATGATAACTGGCAATTTCCTATATTTTCATGCTATGACATATGTAAGCATGCATATGTATGTTTAATATCATATACCTAAAAATCAGAGAAAATCCTAAACATGGATATCTGGCTTAACATGGACAGGGTTTCTTCTGTTTGGTGATTTTTTTTTTCTCCCTTTGTGCCTGTCTAGGCTGCCTAGTACATAAACAGCAAAGATGATTTTCTAAGACACAACATGTTAAGACACAGCTGTTAAAAATTCCTTTGATGCATTCACTTGTAAATAAGGCAGAGCTACCATTACTGACCATCTATTTCCGTCCACCTTTTTGCCCTCCCAGGGCTTAAGGCAAACCTTGAGAAGTGGCTTTGATTTCCCAAAACCACTGTGTAGCTGCTACTGCCTCCAAATTGCGCTATTTCAATGCTTGTCAAATAGAAAAGCGACTTTCCTAGGCCTCTCTGCTGCCACCTCCCAGCCCCTTAGGGAAGCAGAGACTAACTGGAGTTGACCACACACAGCCCCTGATTTCTTGCCAGGAAGTAGTAGTAATCACAAAAAACACAAACCCCAATTAATCAGGACCTCTTGGAGTGGGGCCCAGGCATGGGTGTTTATTTTAAAAGCTCCCCAGGTGATTCTAATGCGCAGCCAACATTAAGAACCATGGCCCTAATGGATTAATTTACTAGGGGGCCATTTGAATGCGGCCTTTGGAGAAGGGGAAATTAAAGTGGAGAGGATTTGGTTGACCAAGGCCAAGTTGTTTTGTGGCCTTGAGCTTTGTGAGAGGATGATTATGCAAACAGAATAAAATAACAGTGTGGAGTGGGCCAAGGCTTCAAAGTTGGAGAGGTCGCTCGGTGGCCTTCTCTAGCGCCTGCAGAGGGCCTATGTCAAATTCAATGTCTTACTGGGGAGAACCCTGTGCTGTGCCAGCTTCCTCTCAAGAGATTCTTATTTCACAAAATACAGCAGAACCCAATTTTGATGCTAATGCCAGGGGACTAATGTCTTTGGGCTCCAGAGCTTTCCAGCCTTTTCTACCGGATGGCCATTGAGACAGAAGACACACTGGCCAGTAGAACAGTGGCCCTTTGGGGCATTTTACACTGCGGCAGGAAACCATTATGAATGGCTTCTGTTCCCATGGCATCGGCTGCCCTTCTGAAGGCTAACACTGGTGGATGGAGACAAAGGGTCCCTAAAGGATTTCTGGATCCCATTCTTCTTCCACACATCAAGAAACTACACTGTGACTTAGTTTGGCCTCACTGTGCAGACACACTAGTTGAACTGCCATTCAAGTACCCCCCCCCCTCAAATCAGTGCACTTCCTGATCTGGCATTGTGACCTGCCTCCCAGCAGGATCACAAATAAACATCATGTTAATGGGCTCCTAACCATTATCATAGTTTGAAATTACTTTCTCGACCAGCATTTATTGCAGTTAGTAAATCAAACCTGTGTCTACCCTGTGCTTCATGGCCCTGTATGTACCCTGCTTAATCCTGAATACCAAACTTTGAGGGAGTTGCCATGCCTGGTTCTCTCTAAGAACACTGAAGTCACACAGACAAGGTATACAACCCCTAAAATCAAGTCCAGTTCAGCCCCCCAAGTCTGCGTGTTATCTGCACAGTGCCACATTACGAAATAGCTGGACATCAGAGCTGGGTCAGAGGGAAATGCAGAATCCTCGGCCTCCTGTGCAGGGTTCTCTGTCTCCAGATCTTAACCCTTGGCTTCTCAGTCACATTCACTCATATTTCAGAGTTATCCACGCTAGAATTCCACCACCCGCTCTTCCTCACAACTTGGCTGTCGATGAGTTTTTCTGAGTCTCCCATCTTGCATCTCACCTGTTTTTTAATGGCACTTCGTTTTGTTCCCTGACTCGATCCCCATTTCCATGGTTCGGAAGAGAAAATACGGTTGAGCTTAGCCAGAGTTCTAAACAGATGTCCCCCAACTCCTCATGCGGCTGCGGCGATGTATCACTTTTAGACATCTTAGCCCTGGCCTGCCAGCCACGCGGCACCTGAGCGGGATGCTTTCAGATGCCTCGCAGTAAGCAAAAAAACGGAAGCTCTGCTCAACCTGCCAAAGTGGTTGCCTTCTAATTCTTGAGAGTGGTAGCATCTGGATGTCTCAGCTGCCACCTGCTCTCAGAGAAATGTGTCTAGTCTGTGTGGTGAGGGGCATGCCAGGGTTCTTAGAAACCTAAAGGAAAATCCTACATGAGCATGTCAGTATAAATAATATATCGTCTTGCCAGAAATTGTTCATTTGGAAGACAGTACCCACTGCTGCCTCATTCTCCTGTACTATTCCGTAATCCATACACAGGAGTATGATTTGCATCCAACTTGTAAAATCTACTTCTGTCACACACAGGTCAGGCAGCTAAGCCCACAAAGGCCGTATTCAAAGCACACTGCATTTATGTACTATAAGAGCTTTCTGTCGTTATCAATATGAAATTCAGAAGTGAGTTTAGTTGGCGGAAATTCCTAGGCAAATGGACCATAGCAGCCTATCTGCCTAGGAGGGATTACTATGCAGTCAGTCAAATAATATTTATGACGTTCTAAAATTTGTAGCATGCTGGGTTTGTTTTTGTTAAAACCATAATCCGCCGGGCGGTGGTGGCGCATACCTTTAATCCCAGCACTCGGGAGGAATAGGTAGGCAGATCTCTGTGAGTTCGAGGCCAGCCTGGTCTCCAAAGTGAGTTCCAGGAAAGGCGCAAAGCTACACAGAGAAACCCTGTCTCGAAAAACAAACAAACCAAAAACAAAAAACAAAAAAAAAAAAACCATAATCCACAATCAATGAAAGCCTCACTCTCTATGGCCATCTTCCGGCTCACAGAGAACAAGTCTATAGACGGTAGCCTCTCACGACCCTAGCACCGTGAGTCGGTGAATGATCACCAATGACCTTGACCTGTGTAGGCTGACAGTGTTCCTTGGAAGCCTAGAAGAGGACTATGAGAGGGACAGACCCCCCCTGTGAATGCAAGAGGCTCTGCAAAATGTTGAATCCTGGCATCTTGATCTGGCGTCTGGAAAGTGCTCATGTCTGTCTTCAACAGTGGGATGATGTTTAGCCCAAGTTGGAACCAAGAACAGGAGGAAAGAGGGGGACCCTGGGCAAAACAAAGTAAGCCACAGGCACCAAAGTCAGTGTAAGATTCAGAATTAGATGCTGGTGGGACACCGAACCAGACAGTGCTTGGTGGACAGAGCGAGCCTTGGGGAGAACCATCCACAAACACCTCAGCTGACTCTGACCTCTGAGGTCGAGATGAATGCCATTGCCTTTCACTGCCAAGTCCCACCAGCTTGCTGCAAAAACAGTGACACCTTCTTCACTGACAGAGACAACACGAATTTAAACAGATGAGGGAGGGAGGAAACAGAAACCCAAATCCAAAATGCTCACACCACCACATCCACAGCCCCAGGGAATGGCTCAACAGGCCGTTTGGAAGTTTACATCTAGACCGTGATTACTGCAAACCAATGCAGGCTCCCTTTAAATATTTATTCCCTGGTTCATTTTTCTGTTTTCCTGTACAGTGAAATGGCATCTCTTACCTGAGCAGTCTGCTCACTGGGCATTAAAAGGAGCAGGCAGCAAGTTCCTTGCACTTATCATGCAGATAAGAATCGAGCAGAAGCAGCAGAGAAAAATATGCTAGCCAAACTGAAGAGAAAATATATTCTTAAATAAAATAATCATCATATGGAAAAAATTCAAAGAGAGGCAAATAAAAAATTAGAATGCAAAAGAAAAAATGTGGGCCCCACAATCCGTATTGCCTGCAAATCGGAGAAAATGTATCATTTATAGAGGTCCATACAAAGTAATACAGGGAATATATCTGCTCCATGTAAATTTATTAAATGCAACTTTCTCTTTCTCTTTCTTTCTTTTAGATAAAAAACCTCTTCATGAAATAAAACCCCAAAGTAAGTTATTTTTCCTCTTGTGAATATAATTTATTCTCATATTTGCTGCCTTACTGTTGTATTTGTTCAGGAGCTGAGCAGAACTGAAGTCCTCTGACAGATCCAGGGCTTTCGGGGCCTCTCCTCACTGAGTTTGGAGTCGCATATCAGAGGTTTAAATCAAAAAGAAATATGCACACCCTTCCCCTCCCTCAAAGCAAAAGTAAATCTCTCTTCTTGATTCTTTCTGCCTATAAGTCCATTTCTCTGCAAATGTCATCTAGGATTCTTATTTCTGGAGAGATTTATAGCATTAAAATTAATAAATATTTGTCAGTACATGCATGAAAGCAGACTTGTGGGCAAACGTCTGGCTCCTAGCCCTTCCAGGAAGAAGCAGGGAAGGAAGGGTTGGTTCTGGAGAATATAAAGCACAGAATCTCACCTGCTGTGGCATCCATGGTAACTAAGTAGATTAGGAGCCCGCACTCTACAGTGAAATAAGTCCAAGCTGACTGCTGGTGTTGGCTTCAGTTCCCTAGCTACAGGCTTGCTTCCTGAGGATGCCTTTGCATTATTTCTGTTTTGCATCCAGGGGATTTAGAGAATGGAGCATGGCTTAAATGGTTGGAAGCTTGGCATTTGACCCCGTGGCTCTCAGCTTTAACTGCAATTATGGTAACCTGGAAGCCTTTTAAAATTGAAGGGCAGGGATTAGAACCCAGAAATTCTCACTTTTCAGAGCTCCCCAAGTGATTCCATTATGCACTCAGGTTGCGAACCATAGTCTCAGAATTTTGTGGATGGGAGACCAAACAGATTTGAGTGTTGGAGTATGATGGGACTTAATAAGCATGTCCTACTTGTGAGAAAATAAGTGAGTTAGAATCTATGATGGAGGACACTCCTAGGATCTACATTATTGTGTTTAAAGTAATTGCATGGATTTAGAGTTGCTAAAGCATAATAAGGAGATAGCTAAAGCATAATAAGGAATCTTGAGCTATGAGGAAAGAACCATACAGCTGACATCATTAGCAGAAGTAGACAGCTGTCCAGCTGCTTTGGAATGTAAGGCTTGGTAAACCTGTCTGTGTCCAGGTTCTCTCATTTAATACAAGATGAATGACTTCTGATCATTTAAATCTACAACAGCAGAATTCAAAGCTCTTAGGAGCGTTAACAGCTTTTATTGGCTAACTTCTTTGAAAAAAATCAAGATCTTAGAGGACAGACAGAAATAGGTACCCAGGGGTGGGCATCAGAAGACATGACAGGAAAATCCAGGCATTTTGTTCCTGTTCCTCTCTATTGCTATGGGCAGCCTGTAGTTCATAGAAGCCACTAACTTACAGTCTGAGAATTCTGCAAAACAAAAACTTCCTCCATGTCTTTATCTGCTGCTACCAGCTACATGTAAAGGAACCATTGGCACCCAAGCGGTGTACTTCCAGTTTTGTGCACACTTGCTTTTGGAGACTGAGTTGGGAGGAACTCAGCATTGTGTGTGTGTGTGTGTTGGCATGAGCACATGTTGAGGGAAGGAAACTGTCTTTTAATATGCAGCTCATGCTTGTGTCCTGACTTTCAGGAAGGTAGCTGGGATGGGTGGACTCTCTGCTTGCTCACAGTCTCATGTGCATGCCAGCCACCCCCAATTTGGGTGTAGAATATAACAAGATCATGGGTGTCCATGTGGTAACCGACATGAGGATTATTTGTAAAGCATGTGTGTGTTTTAAAAAGTTAATTTCATGCTTAGTTTGTGAGTCCTGTGCCTTTCTGATTTGGTTACATCTGTACTTTTAGCCTTAAACCCCACAGAAGCGACTCCTAGTCTGTAGGGACCCATGAATTCATTTTTGCTTGGGGTTCTCGCTCCTAAGCACCATGTTTAATTGCTGGATACTGCAACAGAATCACTTAAACTGGTTTCATTTGTGATTTCCCTAAAAATAAAACTGTACCAGAATCAATGTGATTGCAAAAAGCTCCCAGAGGAATGCAGTCAGGGTTCTGTGAGCTGCATGGTTAGACATGCATTACACAGACTCAGGATTAGTCGTTCGGTGAAAGTGGGCTTGGGTTTAAGACTGCATGAATCATCACTGATGCGAAATCAAAGTCAATTATGAAGATAATTGAGAAACAACCTGTTCCTATATATAGCGGTTCATCGTCTTCCACAAGTCCTGGTGGGTAGGCTACATCGCTCCAAGTGAGTTTTCTACACAGTTCTCCAGAACAGACAGGCAAAGGAGCTAGCTAGCTTTGAGTTGCAGGAAGATACAAAGAGAAGTGAAGTCTTAAGATATGTGTTGGCAAATCATAATGACAAACTGGGGGAAATATGCGCAGTGCACAGCTCATGAAAGCACTTATTGTAAATGAGATAATTTAATCAATTACGTTTCCTAATGTACTAAACCGAATGTTTCATTTTCTGCTTCTGCACATCTTAAATTATCTTCAGGTGCTTTATGAGATTTAATCATAGTTAATAGAAACTTCATTACCATTAAATGTGCTTTCAATAAATGTTGTGTAACAATGTCAGGAGGTGCAGTAAAATATAGTAGGTTCTGAATGGCAAGCATGAACCCCCAGAGTCAAACTGAGAAAATGGCTGCATTCTGACAGTGAGACTCTTTGGAGGCTTGGAGAATGGCGTAACCTGAATGACTGTAAACTCTTGAGGGGTTGCTGGATCAGTGATTTCACCAAAGAAGCGCACTGACAGGATGTAGCATTACCCTAGAAAATGGTTCTGTGCTTTAATCGCTCTCCAGCACCCTTCTGCACAGTTGTTCTGTCTTTATAGGAATGAGTACTTACAGGGCTGGAGAGATGGCTCAGGGGTTAAAAGCACTGACTACTCTTCCAGAGGACTCAGGTTATAGGAATGAGTACTTACAGGGCTGGAGAGATGGCTCAGGGCTTAAGAGCACTGACTACTCTTCCAGAGGACCCAGGTCCCAGCATCCACATGGTGGTTCACAACCACTTATAATTCCCGTTCCCTCCCACGCATCCAAAGCCATCTTGTGGCCTCTTCAGGCACTGTATATATATGGTGCACAGACATATATGCAAGGAAACACTCACACATGTAAAATAAAAATGAATGGATATTAAGAAAGACAGAGAGGGAAAGTGTGCGTGCGTGTGTGTCTCTGTGTGTGTGTGTGTGTGTGTGTGTGTGTGTGTGTGTGTGTGTGTGAGAGAGAGAGAGAGAGAGAGAGAGAGAGAGAGAGAGAGAGAGAGAGA